TGCCATGTGTTGATCTCCCAGCCTGCTCAGCGGCCGAGCAGACTTCCTTCCTCTTCTCATAGTTACAGTACCAATGTTTGCTGGGTAATCTTTACCAGGTTTGTTTATGCTAATCTGTGTTGTTCTTGCCTGCAGGCGGATTGGTGTGTTTGGCCGGCCGCTCAGATGATCAACTTCTACTTTCTCTCACCCAAATTCCGCGTTGTCTACATCAACTTTATCACCTTAGGGTGGGACACCTACTTGTCCTACCTCAAACACAGAGTAAGTCAGACACAAAGGAGATTAAACATACGATTTTTTATAGATAATTTTTTTAGATATTTTTTTATTTATGTGTATCTATCATTCTGTTATGTACAGTATGTTAAATTATAAAAGAAGTAGATACTTCAGTAACACGCATAGAATACCGTATATCAAAACTCTAAATACTCTTCATTGAGTTTTCTACTAGTAGTTAAAAGTAAAGTGATTACATTGATGTGTGTATGTTGTGTTTGCAGGATGACAGCCACCCTGCTGCAGTGGTGTCAGACAGCAGTGTTGTGGATGTACAGCAGGAAGCTCTCCCACCACCCAAACCTCTGGAGGAGAAAGCTTAAGAGACGGAGCTCGTACTCAACTGTAAAGTCGTTCATCGCAAAATTTTGCTCTTTTCCCGCCTTGGCAAAATGTTGTGAGACTGTCACGACAGTTATTCGGGTGGTCGTTTTTCTCTGACAAACCGCTCCTCTCTCAAAGTTTAAACCGACCACATCTCTGTGTGTGCGTTCAGAGGAGTTGTGGATGTTTAATTTGAAGTGCTGGAACACTTTTCCCTTCTTGTCTGTAGAGTTTTAATGTGTCTCTGTCCAGTTTGTTTTTTTATTTATGTCAGAAAGATGTGCACTCCAACAGGAGGATTCAGGGATGAGAAGCTGTTTCACTGCCTGTCGGGCCAATACCTCTGATGGTAGTGGGTTTTCTTTTAATCACAACCAAGGCTGGAGCGTAACTCCTGCCATTAACACAACATTCAACAAGCTACTTGACAGACAAATCATTTCCAGAACATCTGAAGTATCATCTGTATTATCTTGTTGCACCTTTTTTTCTGTGTTGTTTTGCTTCTGTTTTGACATGAAAGAATCAATATTGATGTGAAACAGCTTCATTAGACAGCTGCTAGTTTTTAAATGTTTATTATATTAACCCGCATAAACTTTGCCTTAATATGTAGACCAGCGCTGCTCTCTGTTCATGTCAGATTTCATCTTCAGTTTATTCCTTTAAGGTACCTATAAAAAATAACTGCATGATTGTGATTATTATTAAATATAAGAGCTTTTATATTTTTATCATATCAAACTGAATCCTTGATTGTACTTAATTCCTGATACACTGAAGATGTTAAATGTATTTATTTTCAAACCATGCAGTAGTAGTTTTACACTAGTAACTATACATTTGACTTGGTGTTCTGTACTTTATTACAACAGCAGCTAATTTGTTATTAAATACTTTGTTTTGGCAGGTCAGGTTAGTGATGATAGAAACACTGCATAAAGCAAGAAATCGGTTGAGCTTTATATATTTTTTAATTTTGTACTAATGTATGTAATTAAAAATACGTACAGAGTCCTGATGAACTGTATTTATTGTATTTTTATTGTTGAATTTTAGTAGCAGTTTAATTTTAAAAAGACATGGCAATAAGAAAATGAAATGACATGAAATTTGCAAAATAAACAATATGATTACATTTCTTGACTGTTTTTAAAGTATGTGATGGTTTTCTTGTACGTTGTATCCTCTTAAATTTGATTGATGAAAAACAGTTTTCAAGTTTAGTATAAATACATTAATTGTGTCCTCTGTTATAAAGTAGAAAATAGATATTCTGCAGAAACTTGAAAGAAGCTGAGGGGTCAGAATTTGTGTATTAACTAATTAAAAAGTTGGTTGAACTGTAAAATAAGGTCAACTTCCAGTTTTAAAGTTGTTACAGTTTGGTAACAATCTATCTACAAGCTTCCAACCCAAAACATCTTTATATCTTTCTTGGCTCTGATTGGTTGTTTTTGTTAAGGCCCGGTAGATACTTGCAAATACTGTTATAGCATTATAACAAGCCAGAGGAATTCATGTACTATTGTCAGAACAGTGAAAACTTAACAAATAATGACAAAAAGTTATTTATAAAAGTTACTTAGTTGCAGCTTTAAGGTAGCTAGGTTAAAGGGAAACCTAACACCGACTCATTGGTTTGCTACATTAGGTATTAAGCTGAGTTATCATTGTAAAATTTTATGTATCATTTTACAAAAAAAGTCAATGTAGCGCTTGTGTTATGCCAAATAGAAAAAGGTACAGTAAATGGTCCAGCTACATAGTCAGCTGGACTGCTAGCTATAGGCTAACAGTTAGCTGCATAAGCATCGGGTCAAGAGTTCATCATGAGCTTTAAAAATAGGAACAATAATTTCTGTGTTATCTGCAAATTTACCAGAAACACAAAAATGTATTCATCCAGTCACAGGTGAGATAATAAATAAAAACAGCTCCATTACCTGGAATATGCACGTGCAACGTGATATTCACTAAAGCAATGGTTTCCAACCATTTTCCTTTCCTTTTCTATCATTGAGTAAACTAGTGACCCCCGACTAAGTGACATATTTTATTGAGTTTATATAAAACAAGTGATTTGGATGGATTTTGAGCAGATTATTTCCTGTGAATATTGATCAGAGATGAGTTTCCCTGATGCTTTTTGGAACTTTTTATACAATTCTCTGTTTTCTCATTGGTCTATTTGCTCTTTGGTTGTTTGGAATTGTCCAATGCAGGACTGAGGCTGTTTATCACAGAGTTCACAGAGTAAAGACTTTGTGAATAAATAACAATTTCATTCAGTTTTCTTCACAGAAACAAATGCTGAGATATAGACTGTCTGTATACATTTTCAAAGTTTTCTTAGACCCCTTAAATTCAAGAAGGCCGCACGACCCCCCGTCGAGCTTTGGCTTGGTTGGGAACCACCACACTAAAAGACAATATCACAGAACACAGAACCTCCATCATAAGAGGAGAAATATAACACCCAGTAATCATTATTAATGCATTTTATTTCATCGGTAATGATCAGGTCAATTTAAAACCCAGGGGGGAAATATTAACTTATGGAAAAGAGGCCTTCTGGATTTTTAAAGGTACTCAGGCTTTTTAGTCTATTCCTATTTGTGACTGGAGATGTGTTTTGTTGTTTGTTTTATTTTGTTGTGTTGGAGGTGGGGCCTTCTATGTCTCCAGCTCTCACTGGATAACTGATAAAGAGTCTGCCTTTCTTGTGGACTACATGTTGGCTAAAGGCTTAAAGCTTTATTTGTTAAACATTTTGTAGCTCACCCTGGAGGCCCTAAATAAATAAGATAGTTTTTTCATATTCAGTCTTTTGTCAAAGAGAGACAGATAGCTTTATTTCTCCTGCAGATGACAGCTCTCTCTGTGGTCCCGACATCATGCTTCAGAAGGTGCGTAAACAGTTTCTGGTCCAGGCTCGGTTTACCTGGCGGTCGTTATTCGATGACCAGTTCCTGCTGGTCACCAACACGCTGACTGGAGGATCCTTGCTGGCGATGGGAGACTTTGTGCAGCAGAGCTGGGAGATCCACCAGGAGCCAGACAAAGTCCGAGACTGGAAGAGGATAGGTGAGAGAGACAAGTGCAGCTGGGAGGATTGCAATATGGGAATATCACCACCCACCTTTAATGACTGACCTCAGGCTGAATGAAATTAAATATAGAGGCATCATCATAAATTGCTTTGGAAAACTTTTATTTGAATGTGGTTTAGCAACAGCTGTGTCAGGGCGATATAGCTGAAAAATCTATCGCGATATATGTTTAATTTAAGTCACAGACAGGTGTAAGACAACTACATAATTATTGTGAAGCCTTCACCATCCTAGGAAATACAACATTCAGCTCACAGAACACCACTGAATGATGCACAACTGAGACTTTAGACTAAATAGGTTTATTCTGTATACCTGCGTATACACTTCACTACACCACTGGTTGAATTTAACCACTTTATACATGAAGGCACATAGGTAACAAGGTTTGATGTTAATGTTTTGTTATGCAAAATTGTTGCTGAGTACCTCTCCATCCTCTCCACTACCTATGGTTTCTTTCATTCAATCACTTTATCTTTAAGGATCATTTCTTAGGCTTTACCAGTTGTATGACGTGACTGAGGGCAGGATGCGTAATCCAAAGGGTGGAAGCAGCTGTGGTGATTCACTCATAGCACCCTTGCATCCTTGAAATTAAGGATGCACCATCCTGTTTGGCTGTTTTCCATGGTTGACAGGTTTTATTTTCACTTTTCAAAAGAAAAGTAAACATGCACCGTTTATATCCTACCACATAAATCAAAAAGGATTCTTTAATTTAATAGAGAAAATATAGGAGAAAATATATTTGTATTTTGTAAATTTTTGTGATTAAAGGAATCCTTTTTAGTCATAATTCGTATTAAATCTCATTTCGTTAAAGAAATAGGAGAAAATCATATGGTGAACTCAAAGTATTTTGAATTGGATTGAATTGTGAGTTGAGTGTTTCATTACATCCCTACAATTTTCCTATTTGTATTGATGAAGTGTTTATTTCCAATACATATTACTTTTGTTTTATTTCCCAGCCCTCATTTCCCAAACTCAGAATTTGTTACGGCTTGTTGTGAATAAATTCAGACAAGATTCAGTCAACATTCAGCATATGGTCAGACCCTTGTATTTTGCCAAAAAGCTGTACAATAAAAAGGATATGCTGTGTGTCAGATAAGAGAGACTTTGCCATCCATCTGTATACAGTGCAGTATATACAATACATAGAGAACAAAATTGTGTTTCTCCTGATACGACATTCAGTGGGAGTGAAGCAAATATTAAGACTATACATAAAACAAGACACAAAACAGGTACAGACATGTAGCAACAGTCAGAACTACTGTACAAGAAGGTAGAGAGAATAGAGAGTATAAATATAAATGAACAGGAAGTGTAAATAGAAATTAGAGTATAGGAGCAGCAGTGTGTCCCTGAGGATATTTATGTATACAGGATATGTACTGTGGGTGCAAAAAGTCAGGCAAGCTGTTTGTGCAGTGTTCAGTGCAAATGTCATGAATGATGGACTCATCTGTCTTCACTATCCTCTGTAGACTTGTGGTGTAAATTGTTGCAGTTCTAATACCAGACAGTGATCAGGTCAAGACACCCTCGAGCAGGGAGGAATCTGGCTCTCCTCATTTGATAGAGTCTGTGGAGACACTATTGTGCCTTCTTGGTCAGGGAGGTGCAGTTGTGTGACCAGCTGAGGTCAGCAGAAATGTGAGAAACTTCTGACTATCTCAACACAGGAGCCATCAATGTGTGTTGAATTCAGTCAACAGTTGTCACCTGATTGTCATCAGAGCGGGTTGTTTTTATACCAGCTGCTCCACCTCGCCTCTGTACGCTGATGAGACCCACCAGTGTTGTGTTGTTGATAATATGACTGGAGTGATATTTGTCGTAGTTGTAGTAGTTGTGGGTCATTAGAGTAAACATTAGTGGGCCTAGCACACATCTTTTTATCTACAGAGGGAGCGCTTCTTCTTCTACAGAGGCCACCATGTTACCCACCATGTTGCAAGTAGCTTAAAACTGACAAATCACACATTTTTACATTTTTTGCAACTTTCGTGGCCACCCTAGTGTCTCCTTTGCACTTGGGATGGGATGGTTTTAATCTGCGGGATGCCACTAAATCCTCCACACTGGTTCTTTAATTCTCAGGAAAGAATAATTAATAAAAACATTTAAGTAATTTTACCTGAAAATCTCCAGTGGTTTAACTTCACCTTAGTGCAGTGATGGGCAGGTGTACTCCAGGACAACACTGTTGGGTGTGGTTACAGGTGCAACAGAGCACACACTCAGCTTTACCCATCAGTAATTCTGGGTGTTTTCAGAGGTGAAACATTTAACCAGAGAGGGGAGTAAAACACTGATTTTCAACCTGGTGTTTTAAGTCTCACAAGCACAATCTTTTAAAGTATAATGTTATACCAAAAAAAAAAGATTTAACAGAGTTGTGAAAATATAAACGTTTATAAATACAAGATGTGCACCATGTGTCTCATTGCCATTCATTCTTTTCCCCTTTTTTCCACCCCTTAAGGCTACACGTTTGTGATTGGCTGCTCCACTGGTCCACTGCTGCACCACTGGTACGGCCGGCTGGACAGCGCGTACGTTGGAAGAGCTATGAACACGTTGGTCAAGAAGGTTCTGGCGGACCAGCTGATCGCCTCACCGATAATCGGGATGTGGTATTTTTTAGGTGGGAAAAATTTTATTTAATCTAAGCAGCCTGTCTCCATCCTCCCTTAGTGTACACATACACTCATTTGTCAGGATGTTAGCACATAAGCAGTTTCTCTATGACACACTCAAAACAAAGGTCATACTTGAAGGCGTAGGTGAAGAAAAAAAAACGGCCTGCGTCAATAGCAGAGGTGAGTCAGATGGAGTTCAAAGGTCGTCTGTAAAGAGTTTGCATTTTACATGACAGGTTGTTGTTTTTTGTAAGTCATGCTTTATAAGAGTTCATCACTCCTCCGGCCTCTGAACTTATCTGAAGTTAGTTGATGAAGCTTGGCACTGACGCACATCTGACAACTGTTTATTGCAGGTATGGGTCTCATGGAGGGACACACTTTATCTGAAGGATGGAGGGACTTCAAAGGGAAGTTCTGGGAATATTATAAGGCAAGTACACCTGTCAGGGTCTGACCTGCAGTAGAACAGCAGTTCAGTGCACATGTGCTCACATTGTTATACACTCGTTACTCACCATTGTTTTAAACCAGAGATGATTTCTGTGCTTTCGTGTTCATATAAAATATTTATTTAAAGAAGAACAAAACAAAACCTACCAACAGACAGTGAATCCCTTTTCATACATTAACCCATCACTCTGGAAAATCCCCAGAATAATCTAACCATTCAAGGGATAAAAACAATGAATCCTTTTACAACTCACTTCTGTCACCGTCATTTATAATCAGATCTTTAGAAGATAGGCACCAGAATTTCTACCAGTTCAGGTCTGAAGTAATGTTAAGGTTATTCCAGTGGGAAAAAACATGTGAAACAAATAAGATTTCCTTTTGAAATAAAGCAGACATATCAAAGTTATTGTGCCAAACGCTGTCAGCAAAAGAAAGAATGAAAGAAAGAGACTGGACAGATCCGTGGCTAGTGTCTGTGTACTTGTTGCCAGCCTCAGAAACTAGTGACCAGTAAAGCCTTTAGCCGATGCAGTGCGTTGCTATGTTAGAGGCATGAGTTACCACCTTGGTTGAATAAATAGTCTCTGGCTTATCATTGGCTAGATCAGTAGCTGACTTCAGGAAGGATATAGCCTCTGAGGCCTTCTGATTTGTCTAAACTTTGTCACTTACCCTGCGCCATACTCAAGATGAACTGCAGAAACTTAACATCTAGCACCATCGTCAAGTCAAGTTTTTATTTTTGTCATTGGTTTATGAACAAATACCTGTAAAAGTGATGCCATTCCCATCAGCTTCAGTTAGCATGTAATATGCTAAACTAAGATGGTGATCTTCAGTTGTCCATCGAAATCCGAAGACCACATCCACCCCTTTAATAATGAGTTCTTGGATGGCTGAACAATCCTATCTTGGACCCACAAGCTCTCTTGAATTGTATGTTAGCATGCCGACGTTAGCATTCAGCTCAAACACACTGGCCATTTAAGTACAGCCTCACAGAGCAGCTGGCATTGCTGTATGTTCACTTTTGTTTGGTTCTTCAAGGCTTCAAGCGCCTGCATTTGTGTACTTATTGAGCAGATTATATTTACACACTCTCCTGCATCAAACAGCTCCCTGCTGTTTTTCTTTGTGTTACTGCTGACCCTTTGCAGCTGAGACTGTTTTCTTACAATGTATTAGAAAATTATGTAATTTAAGAAGCTCACTGGCGGTTCTCCTTTCAATCAGATTTGTAAAAACAAATCTTGGTCGACTGACTGATAGAGCAAATACAACCCTCCCAGTTAGAGCCAATCAGGTTACCAGGGTTGTGCCATGTGTTGATCTCCCAGCCTGCTCGCACACTTCACTCTTCTCAAATGTTTTAACAGTGTTTGCTGGGTAATCTTTGCAGGTTTGTTTATGTTAATCTATGTTGTTCTTACCTGCAGGCGGACTGTTGTGTTTGGCCCCCCGTTCAGATGTTCAACTTCTACTATGTCTCGCCCAAATACCGCCTCATGTACATCAACATTATCAGTTTAGGATGGGATGTCTTCCTGTCCTACCTCAAACACAGAGTAAATAAGTCTGCCATACAGGAGATTAAACAGACATTTTGCTTCTTGATAGTTTTACTTGTTGCATGATAATATTAACATATTTAATTATATATGCATATATACAGTGCCTTGCGAAAGTATTCGGCCTTGACCTGTTTCAACCCTTTTTTGCCACGATTTCAGTCAGCCTTCCCCAAACATAAAGATATAAAATTTTTATTTTTGTGAAGAAATACCAACAAGTGGGACACAATTTGTGAAGTGGAACGAAATCTATTGGATTTTTTGAAACTTTTTAAAACTAATAAAAAATAAAAGTGGGGCGTGCAAATTATGTCGGCCCCTTGCGTTAAAATACTTTGAGAGCACCTTTTGCCTGCGATTACAGGCTGCAAGTCGCTTGGGGTATGTCTCTATCAGTTTTGCACATCGAGAGACTGAAATTCTTGGCCCATTCTTCCCTTTGCAAACAGCTTTCGAGCTCAGTGAGGTTGGATGGAGAGCGTTTGTGACAGCAGTTTTCAGCTCTTTCCCACAGATTCCTGATTGGATTCAGGTCTGGACTTTGACTTGGCCCATTCTAACACCTGGGATACGTTATTTGTGAACCCATTACTTTGTAGATTATGCTGTATGTTTGGGATCATTGTCTTGTTGGAAGATACAATCTCCGTCCCGAGTTTCCAGGTCTTTTGCAGACTCAACAGGTTTTCTCCCCAGAATGTCCTGTATTTGGCTGCCATCCATCTTCCCCTCAATTTTTAACCATCTTCCCTGTCCCTGCTGAGAAAAGCAGGCCTCAAACCCATGATGCTGCCACCACCCATGTTTGACAGTGGGGATGGTGTGTTGAGGGTGATGAGCTGTGTTGCTTTTTACGCAAACCATATCGTTTTGCATTGTGGGCAAAAGTTCGATTTGTTTCATCTGACCAGAGCACGCTTGCTTCCACAATGTTTGTGTGTCCTCCCAGGTGGCTTGTGGAACTTTAGACGAGACTTTTTATGGATATCTTTGAGAAAGTGGCTTTCTTCCTTTGCCACTCTTCCATAAGGCCAGATTGTGCAGTGTACGACTGATTGGTTGTCCCTATGGACGACTCTCCCACCTCAGCTGTAGTTCTTCTGCAGGTTCATCCCAGAGTGATCATGGGCCTCTTGGCTTAGCCATCTCTGATCAGTTCTTTTCCTTGTCTGAGCTGAATTTTTTAGAGGGACGGCCAGGTCTTGGTAGATTTGCAGTGGTCTGATACTCCTTCCATTCTCAAAATGATCGCTTGCACAGTGCTCCTTGGATGTTTAAAGCTTTGGGAAATCTTTTTTGTATCCAAATCCGGCTTTAAACTCTCCACAACAGTATTACGGACCTGCTTGTGTGTTCCTTGTCTTCATGATGCTCTCTGCGCTTTCAACAGAACCTGAGACTAATCACAGAGCAGGTAGCATTTATACAGAGACCTTGATTACCAAACACCAGGTGGTTCTATTTACTCACCCATCAGTCATGTTAGGTACAACATTAGGATCATTCAGAGATCCTCGCTGAACTTCCTGGAGTGAGTTTGCTGCACTGAAAGTAAAGGGGCCCGAATAATTTGCCACGCACAACTTTTCAAGTTTTTTTATTTGCTAAAAAGTTTAAAATATCTCAATAGATTTCGTTTCCCACTTCACAATTGTGTCCCACTTGTTGGTGAGTTCTTCACAAAAAATAAAAATTTTATATCTTTTGTTTGAAGCTGAAATGTGTCAAAAGGTTGAAAAAGTTCAGGGGGCCGAATACTTTTTGCAGGCAGCG